TAATAAATTATTATTATTTATTATTATTATTACAATATTATTATGCAATGTTTTGAAAATCTCAATGTTCCCTATGCCATTCAGTCACAATCGAAACATTCAGAATGTTCCAATGACTTTGCATTATTGTGAATATGTTTAGTTCATTCATGTGTATTTCATTTATGTTTATTTCATTCATGTTTATTTCATTGTTAGAAGCACACAACTAGAACAGCAGATGACAGAAGTAAGGATTGTACCGCCACCAAGGTCACCAATGTCAAGTCGACCTCCACCCACTTCAGACCCAGTTAGAGAAACTGCTTCTCTCCAGCCTCCTAACTGTTATCGCACACGAGTCAAACCTGGTTCTCTGGAATACAAGGAGATTGAAAGACTTCTGGGTAGTTCTACTAGCCGAGACATTCCGCTTATCAGTCAGATAGAAAAGATAGTTAGTGATGCTCTTTGGGATAAGTATAAGAGGTACAGGGAATTTGGCAAATGACTGATGGTCCTTCTCTCGTAAATGTCAACATGTCTGAAGTTGAGCACCTGGAACGCTGAGGCCAAATAAAAATAATAGTTGGTTTCAGGTTTCTTACTGACCTGTCAAAAATATGACCAACCATAAACATTTTATTGACATTTTCCAGTTGAGATAATCTTTTTGCAAATGGTAGTCTAGTAGAATATATAAATAGTCATCAGACTCATTTGTCTACAAATTATTTTGTTTGCTTATAATTTAATCATCAATAAAAACTAAGAGTTTATAATGAGTTTTAACTTATATTTATTGCATACTTGAGATAAAATATTTTTTAAAATAAAATGTTTTGCCGACCTACCTATACCCATATAAAACATGGCTGTGAAACCTGAAACTAACTATTATTCTTATCTGGTCTGAGTGAAACCAGCCCTATACCATCTTAGTTCTCAGAGTTCTTTGTTTATTCAACAGCAAAAAGAAATCAATGACAGATGAGCTTCGAATAGGAGAAAATCTGAACGATCGTAGGCTGTTTATACCATGTCTATCTGAAGATATTGAGGGAATTATGAGAGGAAATATCCATGATTGCAGTATTAGCAGAATCCTACCTAAACCATTCGGTCCACGATATTACTTCACCTCCAATGCGTCGTTATGTATACAGTGGTGTAGAGAGTATCTGGCAGGCTCTCAAGTCTCTCTCATCGTATGTCAAGTCTTGCTTGGATCCTCTACCCAAGGTTCACATGGTTTGAAAGAATTCCCTCGTCGTCATGATGGGAAGTTCTATGACTCGTTGGTAGACAACATAGACGATCCTTCTGTCTTTGTGATTGAAAATATTGACCAGTGTTATCCAGCATTTGTTCTCGATATTTTGTACGCCGCTACTCCAGTGATGGAGACACAAGCAATGCTACAAGGTTTGATTTATTTATTTATTTGTAACACCATAGATGGTTAAGCGTTTTTTTACAGTGTATGGTGGCACAAAATTATACATATACAGTAGAACGTAATACATATAGAGAACAATTAGCCTTTCTCACGCCGCTATTTTTGGGTGGCTTTTCAGTCGACGTCTGCGAGATAAGTCCACATAACAGCGACTTTTTATAATTTTTTGGACAAATGATGGTAAATTTGCTTTGTATATGGTTAGTTTATTTTGAAAAATTGCTTTTCACATTGTTTTAATTGCCTGCATTGGTTAACGAGCCAGTTAGATGCCACCCAAAAATGGCGGATATTCGTCATCATGAGAAAGGCTAATTAGTTATCTTTCATTTTAGGGTTGGCCACCATGATCCATGTGCTGCACTGTCGCACTTAGTGAAACGTAGCAATATAAGGCATGAGCGGCCGTGTTGTACAGGGTGTCCCAAAAAAAAAGTATACCTTTTGCAATCAAACATTTGATGCTTGCGATGTTACTCTGAGTGTATATCCACACCAGACAAGCTTGAAAAATATGCCTGGCCACGGTGGGAATCGAACCTACGACCTTTGGAATACTAGCCCAATGCTCTGCCAACTGAGCTACGCGGTCAGGTTGGTTCGAGTATGTGATATTTCGGAGCTGAGTCTATAGTTCCTTCAATATCGATGTAATCTAGTAATGAAATTTTTTCTGTGTTGGTGTAATGTACTCATGTGAATATGATGCTTGTGCTGTTACCAGGCATATTTTTCAAGCTTGCCCAGTGTGGATATACACTCAGAGTAACATCACAAGCATCATATTCACCTGAGTACATTACACCAACACAGAAAAAAATCAAACATTTGTTGGAATTTGAATGCCTTATTACTATGTTAAACATAAAACAGAATAGTATATAGTATCATCTTCTATCCACATTTAAAGAGATAAATATCTACATCATTGCCTGATAAGATTTTAGATGTTATAATCCACAGGTATAAGAATATAAACACGATTGCCAATGATCGAAAAGAGTACAGCTCAAAGCTAGAATAAAACATGCATATTTATTTTACAATGGTAAAACCGTTAGGAGGCACCAAACATAGGCCTGTCAACTGCAGAGAGCGCTACCTAATAGCGATCGTTAAGCAATAACAGTGTATTCTTTAATTTGTAATTCAGGGTTCAACGCCAAAACCAACTCGCAAGCAGTGTTTGCTTGTAATTAAAATAGTAAAATAGACTTTCGACAGCCATTACTCGGCATTAGGATTATAGACTGTCGTTATTTATTAATCATGCATAAATTTATTCCACGTTCATCAATTTAATTTATTAAGTTTTTATCGTTTTTTCTCCTTATTCATATTTGTCTTAGCCTGCGTGGCAGGGTCAATGAGAGCCTGCAACAATCTCAAGGAAATTTGATAACCGCCCACTAATTACTATGATAATTTATTTCCAATCCAACCAATCATATTTTCTGAAATTCGTGTGCGTGATGCAGTGCGAGTAATAACTATAAATATACTTTAATTTATTACTATTGTAGTTCATATAGAGTGGCTCGAGAATTCAAACTTTTAAAAAGTTGGCAGTTTAAATTACTTTTGGAATAAATAAAACATAATTTACACCGGCGAAGGTTTGGTACATTAGTATGTGATACAATTCACTAGAACAAAAAAATTTGACTTGATACTGCAGTTTAGATGTCGTTACTCAACAGACTATTTTTACGTATTAATAATGAACGGAACTCAAAAATATATTTATATTAAATGGAAGACAATACCATCTTAGGTACACATTACAATAAATTTCAAAATCATACATATTATGACCAGCCAGAGATGACCAGCTATGAGCGAATATATGTTTCAAAATTGCAACGGCTCACGTCTGAACAGTTAAACGTTTACAAATTGACAATAACAAACTCTTAACTATAAAAATATATCACAATACGAGCTAAATTGCACTGTAGTTTGTAGTCTGCTGTAAAACTCGCAATAACCGATAAAAGCAACGTTTGTAGATCGAGTAGTAAGTTTCATAAATACATAAAGCGACATGTATTTAATGGAATACATAATTTGTCAAAATCTGTATTTTCAAAGTTGATCAGGTGTAGCTACTGTATTATTTAGATATGTTATTGACCCATTATTATGACCATAAATATTATGACCATAAATATTATGACCCATTATTTACATGGGTTTGTATCCATGCTCTTCGACTTGTCAAGGCAGATATCCAATGACCTGCCAAAACATCTCAACGATTTCCAGCTGTTCAGTTTTTAGTTTAAAACCCAAATTCACAGCACTCTTTCAAAAATATACGCTAATATACGCTTTTCTTGATAGCGTGTAAACATTGCCATTGCGCCACGGTGTTTGATGCGTATTTTGGCATACATTATGATTTCAACCAATAGGATTTTTGAGTCCGCTCACGGCCCCGAAATACCAAATTTCCTTGAGATTGTTGCAGGCCTATATTCTATAGACCTGCCACGCAGGCTATATTTGTCTTTATTTTTTACCAATGCTTTTAGATGTATTTTAACATTTTTGTGTTAAACAAGTTGTTTTTTACTCAGTTAAAAAATTAAAATATTTATGCAAGAATCTTGGTATGCGCACAGGGAGCCCATCCCGGGTCTTATTGAAGTTATGTATTAGAATTACGTATGAAATATATAGCTCAGTGTTGAAGCCTGCGATTTGCGGGCTGTGTGCGGGCTAACGCGCGCGTTGAATACACAATAGCGAGATTTAGCAAAGACGACGCGACGTCAACGAGGACGTGAAAATGGCGTAAAAATGGCGTGGGCACATCCATAGATGGGCATATCACGCCATTTTTACGCCATTTTCACGTCCTCGTTGACGTCGTGTCGTCTTTGCTAAACCTCGCTAATAAAGGAAACAAGACGCTCCATAGAGCGTTAACTCGCTGGGGCTATATACAAATACGCACATTACCATGTATGATACATACATGCATGCATGCAGTACACAGCTATTTTAATTAAAATTTAAGGTTGTGAGGTTGTCCCAAGCTAAGCGGGAAACTGAGCGCGAGTTTTGTTCACTCTGTTTTGAACCATATCAACATATAACAGTGCTCTGCAGTTTATTTAGGTGAATACCATGTTATAATATTGTTTATTATCCCACTGATTTGTATTGTGCCCCAATGGCAATCATGCACCCTACTTTATTATTAAACCAGTCGATTTTGCTTGTTAATTAAGGTGAGAGTGCATGCTGCCGCTCTCAAATTAGTAGGCTTGTATTGCAGGTAGGTGGCTCAGTTTTGAAGTTTCTGTTAGTATAATGACCTCAGTTCAGGACTTATACAATCAGAAACAGTACTATTACATGTGGTCTACAAATAAAACTTCCTGCGTTTCCGCCGGCTAGGATTAAACTGCGCTTAAAAACGTTCAAAATAATTTTTGGCTAGGGTTAAACTGCACTTAAAAACGTGCGAAATATAATATTTTTGGGCTCAAAATACTATCAAAATGAAGAGAGAAGTGAGACGAATCTACTGGTGTACGGATGAAAAAGGGAAAACCAACGATACCAAAGTTATCAAGGATCAAACGTACTGCATTTTTTATAATTAGTTTAATATAAATTTTGAGCGATTTGTTAACAATACAATTTCGCTTGGCTTTCAAAGACAAACGCCATAAACCGCAAGAATACTGTTGTGTAGTAATACATTTGACATCCGTAAGTACAATTTCTTACGCTGAATCGAACGGTGATATTTTTATCCTTATTGCGCCATTAGACAGTACAAATACGAAGTCAAACGTACTGCGAGTGTCGAGTGATTGTCAACAACAGTAAACACATACTGCGAGAGGTCTGCGAGCGATTTAATAGTCAACAATACAATTTCGTTTGATTTTCAAAGGCCATAAATTGCTAGAATATTGTTGTTTAGTAATACATTTGTCATCCGTAAGTACAATTTCTTACACTGAATCAAACGGTGGTATTTTTTCCTTATTGCGCCATTAGATTAAGCATTACAAATACAATATCATATTTCACACTGCAGTTTACGTTCACAGCTAACTATAAGTATTTAGGCCTTAGAGACTGTTGTTGGATAAATTTTATATTGATATGACACCAATATGCTTCTCATCAAGTAGTTATCTATTAAAACTACGTTATGTAGTTTAAGTTATAACCTTTTACCTTGAAATTGTGCATGTCTTTGGCTCGTTTATATTCAGATTCAGTATATTATATGATCGTGCACAGGGATTCAAGTTATTCAACGATCCAAATTTCGGATTTTCAGAGTCGTGCACCAAGAAAAATGCATTAACTAAACTAGCAAGAATGTCCAAAGTTAGACACAATGCTAAATCCATAGAAAACAGGTACAATTCGTTGAAAATTTTAACGAAATTGTTCGAAACACTTTGCGCACTCCACCAAGGCCGCCATTTTGAAAAGGATAAAGTGGGTAGCTCATTAATATTCTATTTTGTGGCTATACAAGAAAATTGCGATCCACTATTGGAAATCCACTAAAAATGTGTGCCGAAACCTATACTCGCCCGGGCACAGGTGCCCCAGCGAGTAATAATGAT